TGTGTGTGTGTGTGTGTGTGTGTGTGTGTGTGTGTGTGTGTGTGTGTGTGTGTGTGTGTGTGTGTGTATATGGCCGCCATGCCGATGTCCACCCCCGGAGTCTTCCTTCAAGGTATCACCCACACTTGGGGCCTTTCAGGTGCAGCGCCAGCCATGAAGATGAAGACCATCATAGCCAGGTAAGCTCCCTCGTCACTCTCCTCCCTTGTCTTCTTCCTCCTCCTCCCTCCTTCTCCTTCCTCTTCCCTTGGTGCTCCTCCGTGGTTCTCTCCACCATAGCTGAGCTGGAGGCCAAGCCTGCCTTCTTCCTCACCCAGCGCTGCTTCAGCTGAGTGGTCACTCCAGCAGCGTGCCTCCAAGCTGCACGCCCGCAAATGAGGCGGAGTGCATCGCCTCCCCCATCTTGATATACCGGCAAAGTGCCTCCTCGCGCGGTTGCTTCAAGGCCGTGCGCCCTCCAAGTCTACCCGGCACCACTGCATTTCAAATAGAACATCACTGCAGTCTGATATCCCCATCCACAGGCTAGTATAGACGTGTACTTCTGGACCAGTACCCCTACCATCTTCACCCGAATAGGATGCCCGGTAATTATTGCGATATCGGAAGTTGAAGTTGCACCAAATAGAGCCATAATGACGGGGCGTTCTATTCGGGTGAGGACAGTAGCCTCTAAGCCTACCAAACTTCTAAAACCTACCTCGGCCTACAAAGGTTCTACCTTTTTGTCTTTTTCTGCCTACCTACTGACTGTTTTCGGCCTATGCGGGCCTACCCTACTCCTTTTTTTCCCAGCCCTAGCCTACTCCAATACCCCGCTGTACCAGCACCACAACACGGCCACAGGTACGTACCAGGCCCGTAGGCTCACAGGCATCCTCATCATCATCATCATCATCAGTAATGGGACCAGCTTCTTTTTCTTCTTCTTCTTCTTCTTCTTCTTCTTCTTCTTCTTCTTCTTCTTCTTCTTCTTCTTCTTCTTCTTCTTCGTCTTCTTCTTCTTCCAGCACCGCAACACGGCCACAGGTAAGTACCAGGCCCATAGGCCCACAGGCATCATCATCATCATCATCATCATCATCATCATCAGTATAGGACCAGATTCTTCTTCTTCTTCTTCTTCTTCTTCTTCTTCTTCTTCTTCTTCTTCTCATCCTCCTACTTTTCCTATTCTGTTCAGTTTTTGGCAAACAGATAAATTGTTATCCAGTGTCTCATCAATAGCAAGTTCAAGCACTTTCTATTGATGAGACATGACCAGGCCTGCCTACTTGTGAGCTGGTCCAGTGGTTGAGACATGGCTAGGTCTGCTTCGACATGACCCGGAACACAATGCAGGCATTACATTCTTTCCTGGAAAACAATGCTTGGACATTATCGCTTTCCCTGTCGAAGGCACAAGTGTTGCCTTCAGTGAGGGAATCAACCCCAACTTTTCACTCACATAATGACGAGCCGAGCATGGCGCCGCACATAGCACCACTATTCCTCGGCATGATAAGTGCACTGCTGTATTTGCCGAGACGAGCCGGCCACTTCAACCACCGCTCAGTTATTGGAGAGAAGAAACAGGAGATGGGGGGGCTAGGAATTCGATCTAGAGTCTAGCGTTTATAGACTCCACAGATAGGGGCTGTGGAGTCTATAGACTCTTCGGCCAAGCAGGGGATGGGAGATGGGGGCAAGAACAGGTGATAGGAGCTAGGAATGAGCTCTAGAGTATACACTCCAGGGACGCCATACCTTTTCTCTGTATCTCTTCGCCCGAGCTCTTCCTCTAGAAGCTGCCGTTTCTCATCCAGCCTCCTCAAGTCTCTCTCTGCGAGTAGCCTCCGCCTCTCCTTCTCCTCTTCCTCTCGCTTCCTGGCTGCCCTCTCTCTCTCCCTCATCTCCTGCATCGGTGGCATAAAGTACCCAACACCATCAGACACAGTGGCACGAAGTAGTCAACACCATCAGATTGACAAAAGAAAGGCCCCACAATCATACACAGAGCACCGCAAGATTCCCATAATACGACAAACGACTTTATTACCTAACCCCTATAGGTGAAGGGACATCTCCCCCACAAAACCCGGCCATGATGCCCGTCCCTCCTTACGCAGGAGAAATAAATAACCTAATGGCGCCAATGATGCTAAAACAGCCATTCTCAAATCGACAAACGGAAGACCAACCCCCCCCCTTCTTCCCTTCTTCCGCCTTCACACCCTCCTCCCCCATTCACACACTCCCCCCTCCCCC